TCTCGAGAGCCATAGAGTCTAATAACTTAGAGTAGCTTTAGACTCTATAACTGTCAAGATGATTCTCAAATCATTTTCTCCTCCCAGAGGAGCCTTACATACATGTACACATGTACATGTGCTTCCTGGTATGAGTGCTATTCTATTACCTACCACCAGAGGGCATGAACTGCGATTAGATTCTAGCCTGCTTATCTACATTGAAGTCCAGAGCTTGCTCAGATCACTGTTTAAGCAGACGAACCTTAATTTATTCAGTAATCCAACAGTCTCAGGAGCATCTGAAAGTTCTTTGGAACTGATTGTCTATAAACACTTGTAAAAGAAAGCTGAGGTAAGCACAGAACACTCGCAAATGCCTGGGGTCAGAATTGGAGACCTGGCTTTATAATATTACTAGTTTAGTTGTGTGGCCAATGATAAGTTGCTTTACCTTGACTTTTAACCTTCAGTTTCAGGTGCCTGACCTGCCAGATCATTAATAAACTCTGCCACACATGGTTTTTGTGAGGATTAAATGGGATAACATGATACTGGCACCCATTTAATAAGTGGAGATTTTTTTCCTTTGTTCAGTAAAACTTTTATGGAGCTTATATTCTGGCTAGAAAAAACACACATTACATGGAAAAAAGAAAATGTAGGCACTGATGAAAGCTAAGGATAATAAGGTGCAGGATCTATGAGGCTATTTGAGGTAGAGTAGTCTAGGAATGCCACTCTGAAGAGGTGGTATTTCAGCAAAGAACTAATAAAAGATTTGAGAAAAGGAAAGGGTGTTTGAGGCAGAGGGACACAGCTTGGTGTGCTTGGGAAATAGAAAGACCAGTACTCAAAGGGCAGGGGAGAAATAGGAGGTGAATTATAAGACATAAGAAAGTTCCAGATCTTGTAAGTTTTGTTAAATACATAAAGACTTTAGACTTATTTTGTGGTATAAGATGTAAGCATAAGAGTGATGTGATCTGATTTTTATGTTTAGAAACATAACCATATCATTCTGATTGCTGTGTGGAAAGTAGACAGTAGGGAGGCAAAAGTAGAAGCAGAATGGTTAGAAAGCTGTTGTCGTAGGATGGGCAGAGTCTGACTGTGGCTTAGATTAGGGTGTTAGTGGGGGAGAAATATAGAATGGCAAGGAATGGTTTGGTTTAGGATATATTCGATGTAAGGACCATCAATACTTACTGATTAATTATATTTGAGAGACAGTAGAAATGGAGGAACCAAGAGTGACTTCCAGGCTTTTTGGTCTCAGAACCTGGGTTTAAATTACTGATGCTATGAATCCAGATGAGGTGACTAGAGGAAAGGGGGTTGTAAAATCAAGAGTTTTGTTTTAGACTCACTCATTTTGAGATTTCTTGGCATCCAAGGAGAATTATAAAATAAGGTGGTTGAAAATATGAGCATGAAACTCAGAACAGAGGTTTGGGTTAGAGATATAAACTGGCAGCCATCGTTGACGGGAAAGGAGTACAGACCAAAGAAGAGAGAACCAATGGCCAGATCCTGAGGTACTCCCACTTTAGAGGGTAAGATTTCTTACCCACCTGGCCTTTTTCTTGAATGCTGTTGTTTAATTTGAGGAAACCCTCAAATTATTGTTTTTTCCTTTTCCTTTTTGCACAAATGTACAACTCCAACTCTTTTACCAAGAGAGATAGCATGGTAGAACTGATTGATTAAATGCTTGAAGACATTAATGTGCTGATTAATAATGAAGGCTCTGGAGACAGAAGAGTCTGGTTTAAATCCTGCTCTGCTATTGACTAGGTCAGTCTTTTATCTATAATAGTCAAAATAAAAGCCAGCATTTATTTAATACTTATTATATACCAGGTATCTTTTTAAGTGCTTCATGTGTATTTATATTAACTTATTTTAATCCTTAACCCATTGAAGTAGTTACTAGTCTTATCCCACTTTATTGTTGAGGAAACTAAAGCCAGAAAGAGACCTTATTATTTCCCGGATGTCACACACCAGCTAAGTAGCAGAGCTAAATTTGAATCTAGGCAGCCTGGATCCAAACCCAGTGCTGCTTTTCTCATACCAAATTCACAGAGCTGTAGAAGTGATTAAATGAGATAACCCATTTAAAAGTACTTAGCATTTGGAGGCTAGCACGTAATATGAACAGAATAAATGTTTTCTGTGGGCAGCAGCATGGTATAGTGAAAGAGAAACAGATGAAAAGTCCTAGGGCTCCAGCCTAACTGCAGGAACAACTTATGTGATCGTGAACAAGTTTCTTAACCTCTCTGGACTGCAGTTTTGTTGTCTGCAATATAAAACCTTCATACTATCTGATTTCTGAAAAACCTTTCAGTGTTTAAATTCCATCTGTGACTCCCCAAGACCAGATTATGAATACATCTGAATTTGGAGGGGTCCTACATCACCTTGGGGGTTGGGGGATAAAGTACTCAGTAATTGAGTTGGCAGCATTTCTTCTTTGCCCTTCTACTCTTGAAGAAGCTTGCTAAGAGGTAGGGAAACATAGTTAATAACATGAGGTTTGGAGTAAGACCATTATGTAGTAGAATCTGTTTCCACCACTTACTACTTTGGACCAGCTACTTATCTTGAGTTTCTCTTTCATCATTTGCAAACTAGGGATAATGATAGTGTACTTCTCATGGTATTATTTGAAATATCCTGAGAGAAGGTACCTGTAAAGTAGTACATGATAAGCATTCAGTACATGTTAGCTATTATTATAATAAGGGTTTCCAGAGTGAGATGATTTTTTTTTTCCTAGCTCAAGTACCAGGTGAGATAGAAGCCTCTCAGTAACCCATTTCTGAAAAATTGAATTGGGAATTACATGGTGAGGCACTCTAGTTGTTGGGAACTGAGGGCATGAATCTGAATTTTCTAATTGTGTTATTCCTCTGTTTTACAAAGGTGCAGGGAACATTTCTCTAGAACAGCTGTGCCTTATCTTTAGGTGTAGTGAACCCTTCATGGCAGATCTGCTTAGGTTTGGCTTGCTTCAGCCCTTTCCTGACTTAAGGAGAGTTGTTTTAAATACTCTCGTGTCTCTCCATCTTCTGCTCTGCGTTGGCTTTATTCTTGGTTTTATTCTCTAGTTAGCAGTGCCAAATCTACAAACACCCTTACAACTATGATCTCAGAGAAAGAAAAGCTCTCCAACATGCATATCATACCAGAAAACAGTTGAGCCAATTTGAGACATACATAACATACTTTTTGTCTAAAGGGAATGTGATTCTCTTAAATGGCGTTATCTTGCATTTCATAGCCAGGTAGGTAGGTAGAACCCACTAGACATCCCCACCAAATCACCTAAAATTAGGGTTTGGAGTGGGGTGGGGGTGGTTTGCAAAAGGAAAAAAGGCTAGGCAGGCAAAAAAGGAAGTGGTATCAGTTTGATAGGAATGTACAAATTGCTATCTCCACTGTTGATAAGAATGGGCTAGCCCAAGAAGTCTCCTGACCTTGGGAAACCCCATTTAGCCTAGCCAGCTTTGAGACTAAGCATTTAAATCATATGGGGTAGTACCTCTTTTCTTATTTCCATTTTTTTCTCTCTTCTCACCCCCCCCTTTAATTTAATTATAGTTCTTAATTAATACTTAATCCCAAAAGCTGCTTCTTCCTTTTCCATTTCCCATGCACATTGATAATTTAGCATAGTAGATAAGAGCGTACGTAGGCTCAACAGTCAGATTGCCTGGGTTTCAGTCCTTTCTTTGTCATTTGTTCACTTTGAAATCTTAAGCAGTTTATACCTCTCCTCATCTATAAAATGAAGATAATTTCTACCTCACTAGGTTGTCTTGAGGATTAAATTAGATACCCAGTAGAAAGTGCCTGGCACAGTATCTGGCCCACAGTGAAGTACACAGTAATCAGATATTATTGTTGCTGTTTCCAGCTGTGCAGCTGTGGTTTAGCCTGTCTGTCCTTTTTCAGGAACGGGAGAGCTGAGGTCGACTGGGAGACTATCAAAAAGCACTAGATTTTGGTATCTGAAGATAGAAGGTTGAAGTCAAATTGAAGAGAGCACTTGGAGCTCTAACTGGAAAATATGATAATGATCTTATTTTTACAATTTATTAATTAAATAGTATATTCTTGACTTGTCATTGATCAGTCACTAAGTTGTGTCTAACTCTTTGCAACCCCATGGACTGTAGCACTCCAGGCTCCTCTGTTCTCCACTGTCGCCCAGAGTTTGCTAAAATTCATGTCCATTTAGTTGGTATTGCTGTCTAACCATCTTGTCCTCTGCTCCCCCTTCCTCCTTTTGCCTTCAGTCTTTCCCAGCATCACGATCTTTTCCAATGACTTGTCATTGAGGAATGACAGTGGACAATTAACCTCCCTAGGCTTCCTTTGACTCTTTTGGAAAATGAATATTTTTGAATATGTTGACCCCTTTCATCTTCATCATGAAGCCTGATCCTTCGTTAAGTAAAAATGAATATCCAAAAGTTTTTTTTGTATTCTGTGTATGTGTGAGAGAGGGGGAAAGAGAAAGTGAGAGAGTGAAAGCATGTTTATATTGAGATAAACCAAAAAGTTTTACTTCTGTATTGGATTTATCTGACATATTTGGTTTCTTCTTAAGAGATTATTATATCCCCTTTCACACTGTACTGTCTAGATCATTTCTAAGTATTTGTTATTCCTTTCACACATCTATTTTGGATTTTTCAAGGAAACTTTTCAGGCATTATGATGTACGTTCTATAATACTTGTCTTGATGTCAGGAAACGTGGTTGGGGACTTGACTACTACCTTTGCAACATGACCTTGAACAAGTTACATTCCCTCTTATGTGCCTCATTTTCTCATCTGTCTAATGAGGCATTTTCTCTGCTTAACCTTTTAGTCCTTTCTTAACAGTCTGTGTAACTATCACAGCATAGGTTGTGGCAGGAGTAGCTGGATTCCCAAGAGAAAACTTGGTATTGCAATTCCCTTTGAGGTGTATTTTTTAATCTGTTGCCCGTTATGTTTGCTGCAGGATTTCGGCTGAATGCTTCTTCTTGGCCCATGTTCCTTTTGAAGACGCTAAATGGAGCAGAGATGGCTCCCATCAGGATTTTCCACAAGGTATGATGTTCCTCAGCTATCACCAGCTCCAAATTACTTAAGGTCAAACGCGTACATCCTTTCAATTACTGAGCCTCTAATGTCTGTATTATATTTATGGCCTGAGGATGCCTTTTCAGAAACTAGTTCAGCAGAAGGATTTTTAAAGTACCTTATGAAGCAGCAATTATCCCCAGAGAAATACTAGATTGTAAGGTAGGATTTCTGGGTTTGGGGATTTCATATTTCTCTACTAATAATCAGTTTTGACCTCATCTGTAATGTGGATTTCTGTCTACCTCACAGGGTTATTAAGAAGTTAAACATTTTTTGTTAGTAAAACATATAAAATGTAATATAAATCTAAAGTCTATTCTTATGGAGTTCCATAAGTTCCATCTTCTAAACAGAGAAGAAGGAAGGAGACTATTTTTTAAGTGCCTGCAGTATGTTTGGGGTTTATATACACTATCTCATTTAATACCCACAGTTAACTTTATCAAGTAAGAATTATTATTTTGGTTTAGTAGTTAAGGAAACAAAGCACTTTCAAATAAGGAGCTTGCCCAAGATCACATGACTAGTAAGTGGTAGAATAGGAATTAAAAACCTGTATTTGTTTTTCCTTGTTTTTCAAGGGAAAAGGCAGTCAGTCTCCTCTCAGTTGATCTTTCATGAGATTGGAGTTACTATAAAGGAGGCTGAATTAGCATTAATTGTGCTGCCATTTGGGCTTTTTAGGTGGCACTAGTGGTAAAGAACCCGCTTGCCAATGCAGGGGATGTAAGAGATCTGAATTTGATCCCTGGGTTGGGAAGCTCCTCTGGAGAAGGAAATGGCAGCCCACTCCAGTATTCTTCCCTGGAGAATCCCATGGACAGAGAAGCCTGGCAGGCTGCAGTCCTTGGGGTCACAAAGAGTCAGACATGACTGAAGCGACTTAACATAACATGATGCCATTTAAGTCTAAAACCTGAGAACACCATAGTTCCCAGAATACAGTATACTGGGCAATTTGAAATCCTTCCACTGGATGGTACCTCAAAATGGTGGGAGGTAGGGGCCAACAAGTATTCTTTTAAATGCTTTACTGATCTTCCTAGGCAGTAAGGGGACTCTCCAAGGCCAAAATGAAGAAGGAAAACCAGAGTGTTAGGTGTACTGAACCTGCTGATGCCTTAAGGAGCTTTACCAGTCTTACTTTTTAAGGACCTTGTCTTTTAACAGCTAGAGTAAGATAGAAGTTGAAGCCTTGGGCCCATGTAAGGCAGAAAATGGACCTGGGACAGCCACATGAATAAACAGATGGATCCCTCAAATGTTTACTCCTTAGTGAAAAGATGAGGAAGAGTCTCTAACTGGGCCATGGGTAGGGGAACTGAGTCATTCTTCTGATAAAAGCTTTCCCCCATGGAAGTCCAGGGTTCAGAGATAGTGCCTGTGTTGTCTCAGAACTCCAAAATTGTAGGGGGGATATTTCTGAGTGCCTGGCAGAAGGAAACCCAAAACCTCTCTAGAGGGTTTGGTTGTTTTCAACCCAGATGTCGTAGAAGTCCCAAAAGTGAAGTACCACTGAAAATCAGTTCAGTTCAGTTCATAATCACAGAGCCCTCAAAACTCTCAAAACAAATCCTGCATGATGAAACATCAGTAGAAACAACAAACAGTAAGACTATAACCTCAAGGAGTTTCAGATAATAGAAGCATCAGATAGAAATTTTAAATAAAGTATTTGAAAATGATTAAAGGATGAAAAGAAGAAACTTAAAAATGAGAAAAGTACAAACCTCTATTTTTTTTAAAGACAAAGTTGAAAAAACAAATTGAATATCTAAAAATGAAACCATTAAATTTAAAAATCTTTTAAAAATTAAAAATAAAAATCTTAGATAGGTGTTTAGGCAACTTAAACCTAGATAAGAATTAACTTCAAGACATGGGTCAGGAATTTCTCCAGAGTGCAATACAGAGAGATGAAGTGATGGAAAATATTAAAGAGAAAAGATAAAGATAATAATATTAGAATAGGTCTGATATATGCTGAACATGAGTTCCACAACGAATAAAAGCGTCAGTATTTGAAAAGATAATGACAGAATTTTCCAGAACATGTGATAAAGACAAATGTATACTTTAAAACATTATGGAGTAGCTGAAGTCAAAAGATCTGAGCAGATAATCACACAAAATACAGTCATCCTCAGTATCTATGGGGGACTGGTTACAGGAACCCCTGAATACAAAGATCCACACACACTCAACTCCCTTATATAAAATGGTGTAGTGCAGCAAGTTCCCCATATCTGCAGCTTTCACGATGCAGACTGAACCTTCAAAGGCATTGCAGTAAGGCTGACAACACATTCCTTGACAGCGGTAGTACAAGACAAAAGGCAATAGAATAATACTTTCAAAGAATTAAGAAAAAAATAGTTGTCCACCTAGAATTTTATGTCTAATTCTACTGTTATTTCAGATTGAATGTAAAATCAAGACATTTCCAGCAAACTAATACAAATATATTCACTGAAAGAACAATTAAAGAGTATGTTTCAAGAAGAAGATAATTGAACCTAGAAAGTAAGAATGAGATGCAAAATGTAGTGTGAGGGAAAGATAGGTTAGCATGTGAGTATAACCAATCAGTCATTGCCTGTGACTGTATAAACCAGTTATACAGCAAAAGTGATCAGTTGGCAGTATAACAGTATGGAACTAAATTATCCAATACCTGTTAACCCAGGAGTAATTTAAATATTCAGATGTCCTAATATTGTTTAATTAAGGATGAATTTTAGACTTAATTATGTCAGCTGTACAGTTATGATCTGAAGGGGATCCACCAAAAGATTAAATATAGAATGATTAACATCTGAATCAATGGAAAGGGGAAAAGGGAAGAAAATTCAGTTGATTGTTAAGGAGAAAAAAGAAGTTAAAGGCACAACTTGAAAAATCAAGTTAAATAGAAATGATATTTAGAAATGATAATTGTAATAAATTTAAATACATCAGTTGTGAGAAATTAAACTCATCAGTTTAGTCAGACATAGATCAGATTGTTTTTAAATCTATCTGCATGCTGCTTACAAGAGACATTGCTGAAATATGACACAAAGGTGTTAAAAATAAAATAATATAAATCATATACCAGGCAAACCATTATCAAAATAAAGCTGGTGTTAACTATACTGAAATTAGACAAGACTTTGGTGCTAAAAAGCATTAAAGAAGTTACTATCTAATGATAAAAAAAAATAGGTCACTAAGAAGATAAAAGTTATACATGCTCCTAAAAAAGCCTCAAAATAGATAAAGCAAAATTTTACAGAATTACATAGAAAAATTAGAAAATCCACAATTATTAGAGGATATTTTAATACACATCTCTCAATAATTGATAAATCAAATAGACAAGAAAAAATTACAAGACAAAAAAGTATCAATCAGCATAAGCTAATCAGTTATAAATCAATTCAGTTCAGTTCAGTTGCTCAGTCGTGTCCGACTCTTTGTGACCCCATGGACTGCAGCACGCCAGGCCTCCCTGTCCATCACCAGCTCCCCGGGTTTACTCAAACTCATGTCCATTGAGTCGGTGATGCCATCCAACCATCTCATCCTCTGTTGTCCCCTTCTCCTCCTGCCTTCAATTTTTCCCAGCATCAGGGTCTTTTCAGATGAGTCAGCTCTTCTCATCAGGTGGCCAAAGTATTGGAGTTTCAGCTTCAACATCAGTCCTTCCAGTGAACACCCAGGACTGATCTCCTTTAGGATGGACTGGTTGGATCTCCTTGCAGTCCAAGGGACTCTCAAGAGTCTTCTCCAACACCACAGTTCAAAAGCATCAATTCTTCATCAATTTAAATCAGTTTTAAAAAATAAAGTCATTCCTATTTAACAAGTGATTTGAAAATGAAATTTTTGAAGATACTCTTTAAGACAGCAATAGGTTACAGTATGGCTAGAAAAATGTTAGTAAAATGTAAGATATTTATAAGGAATTTTTAAACTTATACTGAAGATGACATCTCCATTAAAAAATACTTAACATATGGAAAATGCTATGTTCATGGAAGGAAAGGCTCAATGTCATACAGAAGTTATTTTTTCCCAAATTATAAATTCACTGGGATTCCAGTCAAAATACAAATAGGATTTTTCTGTGGAACTTGAAGAACTGATCCTGAAATTCGTATGAAAGATCGAGGAGAAAGAATAGCCAAGACAATAGTGAACAACAGCAAAGCAGGGGGCCTTTCTCTTCCAGACGCACATTTAATAGGACTGTGATTGGCGCAGGATCAGCCAGGAAGACAAGGGGAGACAGAGTGCACAGCAGTTGTTTGGAAACTCTATGCAACTGCATTGCAGATTGGCACCCAAGAACTAGCTACACTACTGGAGGGAGTTTATAGTGTTACAGCTGCTTTGGAGGGCAGTTTAACAATATTTAATAAAGTGGAAGATGAATTCTCCAGGCAAGAATACTAGAGTGGGTAGCCATTCCCTTCACCAGGGGATCTTCCTAACCCAGGGACTGAACCTGGGTCTCCTGTATCATAGGCAGATTCTCTACCATCTGAGCTATCAGGGAACCCCATATATTTATCCTATAACCCAGCAATTCTACTCTCAGGTATACATGCTGGAAAAATCTTCCCACATATGAAAAAAGAAACAACTGTAAGAATGGCTGTGAAAACTTTTGAAATAGTAAACAATTCAAAACAACATTACATGTCTGTCAAAAGAGAGGAAATAAATTATGATATAATGGAGTACTATTAGCAGTTAAACTACAGCTAAATTTACAACATGGATACATTTCAAAAACATAGTGTTGAACAAAAAAAGCAAGTTGTAGAATGATATGTTCACTATAATGCTATTTATACAAAATTTTAAAGTATGCAAATTATATATATATGTATACACACACACACACACACACACACACACACGGAGAAGGTAACAGCACCCCACTCCAGTACTCTTGCCTGGAAAATCCCATGGACGGAGGAGCCTGGTAGGCTGCAGTCCATGGGGTCACTAAGAGTCAGACACGACTGAGCGACTTCACTTTCACTTTTCACTTTCATGCATTGGAGAAGGAAATGGCAACCCACTCCAGTATTCTTGCCTGGAGAATCCCAGGGACGGGGGAGCCTGGTGGGCTGCCGTCTATGGGGTCGCACAGAGTCGAACACGAACTGAAGTGACTTAGCAGCAGCAGCATACACACACAGTAAAGTATAAAAATATGCATGGGGAAGGGCACAGTGGAGGATTCAGCCTTATCTGTTACCTTTTTATTTCTTGAAATAAAAAAGACTTGAAGCACAGATGTTAAAATATTAGAATTAACAAAGTAATACTTTGGTATACTTTGAAATTCATTTAAAGGAAAGTCTAAAGTTCCATTGTAAATCTTATATAGCACTTTCTAATCATCCAAATGAAGTACCAGTCTCTTGGCATACATAGCCTCTCTGTGTCTAGGTCTGTATATCTCTTGTCTCTTATCTAGGAACCACCGTCACCTTCTCACAACTTCTTCAAAATGGGAATGAAGCTAGAAGCTGTGGACAGGAAGAACCCTCATTTCATTTGCCCAGCCACTATTGGGGAAGTGCGGGGCTCAGAGGTCCTTGTCACTTTCGATGGGTGGCGAGGGGCCTTTGACTACTGGTGCCGCTTTGACTCCCGTGACATCTTCCCTGTGGGCTGGTGTTCCTTGACTGGAGACAACCTGCAGCCACCTGGCACTAAAGGTAAAGGCTTGTAAAGTCGGAACCCAAGTTGCTAAGGGAGCCTACCTACATCTCTCATGGTCAGCATACCTTCACCAGTAAACCTCACTCACAGGCAAAGGAGGATCAGGGGCCAACAACTAGGGCTAAAAACCAACATCTAGTCAAGAGTAGTCAGAAACAGAAAGAATTTAAACATCACGTGAGGATAGACATGGAGTTTGGCATAAAGTAATATTTCCTTGCTAAATAGCTTGGTTTATTCTTAGGCAACTAGCTTCTGGTCTCTCTTACTCTTATTTCTGGACTGTTCCAGAGTTTGAGTAATATCATTCTTGAGGTGAACATCCCATCTTTGTAATTGAGCTGGAGTAACATTGTATTACATAAAAATACTTAACCAGCACTGTAGTTTAATGGAAAAACCATGGGCTTAGATGTAAGATAGACTTAGATTTGAAGTCCATCTCTGCCTTTTCCCAGCTGTGTGGCTTTTTGGTCAGTTAGTTGACCTCTCTAAACCCCAAAATTCCTCATCTGTAAAAGAATACCTACTTTATAAATGAGATTACATGGGCAAAATGCTTACATAATGTCTGGCAAACACCAAATGCTAAACAAATGTTTTTATTGTATTACTTATGCTGTTATTCTATATTAACATAATTATTAGTATTTATTATAATTACTATGTAATATGCTATATTATTATTATTATTATAACTGCTACTAATGGGATAGTATACATAAAGTACTAGAATAGTACCACAGAGTAGTGAACAGTCAGTGATATTTCTGATGGTCATGATGTTGGAGAACATCCAGGATAAAGTTTGAGGTAGCTCTTAATAAAGAAAATAAATAGTAAGAATCTCATTCCTAAAAGTACTGGTAAATCTGAAAGAATAGAAAGTCACCCTTCCTGTTGTCTGTGGGTTTCATTTCTAAACCTCTATCAGATTCATTCATTCAATTAGCCAGATATTTATGTAGTACCTAATTTTGGGCCAAACTGAGGATACAGTAGCCACAAAGATGAAAAGCATTCATCAAGTGCCCTCATGACACTTTCATTTTAGAGGGATGAAATAGTCAATAAACATTTAAATCAAGAAATAAACAAGATGATTTCAGATAGACAGTTTTTCCTAAGGAAATAAAGTATCATAAGATAGTGACTGTGGATTTACATGTGTTCCCCATCCTGAACCCCCCTCCCACCTCCCTCCCCATCCCATCCCTCTGGGTCATCCCAGTATGGCAAAAACCACTACAATATTGTTAAGTAATTAGCCTCCAACTAATAAAAATAAATGGAAAAAAAAAAGTATCCATGCTATCAGAAAAAAAAAAAGATAGTGACTGTGAAGGGATTCATTTAACAGCTTTATTGAATATAATTTAAGTAAAATAAGTTGCACATATTTAAAGTATACAGTTTGAAAAGTTTTGACACATATGTATATCCATGAAACCATTACCTTAGTCAAGATAATGAACATATCCAGCATCCCCAAAGGTTTGCTGTTCCTTTTTGTGGAGGGGGAGCTTTTTGGATACAATTTCTTTTTAGGAAAAATTGTCCAAAAAGATGATTGATATTTGAATTCGATGACAAAAAGAAGTCATGCAAGGAAAGAGAATTCCAAGCAAGCAGATGTGGCATACTTACAATGGTATTGAGACATGAATGAGTTTATTATGCTTCAAGGGCAGAAAGAATACTGCTCTGACTACAGTGTACCGTGGGAGGGGGAAAGTGGCACAATCATGTAGGACCTTATAAGCCAGAGTGATAATTTGGACTTTATTCTAAACATAATGGGGAATCATTAGAAGGAGTAACAAAATCTGATTTACTTTAAAAAAAATAAAACAACACTTGGACTTGTGTCCAAGAATACAAAAGAGCATGTATGACTGAACAATAAAGAAGGTAAATAACCCAGTTGAGAAGATGGGCAAAGGACTTAAACATTTCTCCTAAGGAAATATACAAAAGATCAGTAAGCACTTGAAAAGATACTCAACATCAGTAGTCATTAGGGAAATGCAAATCCAAGCCATGGTGAGATACCACTTTACGCCCATGGGTATGGATATAATCTAAAGACAGACAGTAGTAAGTGTTAGTGAGAATGTAGAGAAATTGGAACTCTCATATGTTTCTGGTGAGATTCTAAACTGCTGCAGCCACTTTGAAAACAGTTTGGAAGTTTCTCAGAATGTTAAACATAGAGTTACCTGTGACCTAGCAAGTCTACTTATAGGTATATACCCAAGAGAATAGAAATCATATGTCCACACAAAAATGTAACTTGAACTTCATGGCAGCATTATTCATAATGGCCAAAAAATTGAAATAGCTCAACTGTCCATCTGATGAAAAGATGAATACAATGTGTTATATTCACATGAAATAAATTATTTATTTATTGGCAATAAAAAAAGAATGAAGTACTGGTTTGTGCTACAACATAAATGTACCTTAAAAACATTATTCTAAGTGAAAAAGCCAATCACTAAAGACCACACATTGTATAATTGCAATTATATGAAATGTCCAGAATAGGCAAAACTGAGAGACATAATAGTGGTTTTAGGGGCTTTGGAAGAAGAGGAAATGGGAAGTGACTGCTAATGGGTATGAGATTTCTTTTGGGGATGATTAATATGTTCTAAAGTCAGGGATGATATTCCCACAACTCTGAGTTTGCTAAAAACACTGAATTATGCACTTTAAAAGGTGAATTTTACAGTATGTGAAGTACAGATCAATAAAACTGTTACTTAGGACCTAATTTGGGCTGGTTTATAGAAAATGGGTTTTATCATGGTGACTGTGGACAAGGAAAATATAGGGTTGCTTGGATTAGGTTGGTGGCACTGAATGGAGAGAACTTGAGATGGGGGCAGCATGGAGGAGAGAAGACAGACTTTCTGCCTTGGAAAAGTGCTACACCTCTAAATGCTCCAAGAAACAAATGTGGGGTCAGTGTGAGACATCCATTGCCCTCCCTCTACAGAGTCTGTGAGATAATATCTCTGTGGAAGTAGCAGGAAAAGAAGTTCCTTGAAAGTAATAGTGGAGTCATTTTTGCTTACTTGAGACTAAAACAGGATAAGCCTTGATGCTCCCAGCCATAGTCAGTTAGTAGGTTGAGTTTCTTACTTCCTTGGTTAGAATAACTCTGCTATTTTGACTGGTAAGGCTCCTAGAGCAATTGGGTGATTCTCAAAAGCCAGGGGAGCAGGAGAGTCTTCTGGACTCACATTTTTTTTCTGACTGCACATCATGCTGATGAGAAATACGGCACACGGTGTGGCCGATGATTCCAGAGGTGTTTGCTGGCTCTTCTCCTTCTCTCCAGTGTGTCTCTGGAGATTTTAGATTTTTAACAGATGACCAGAAGGACCAGCTCAGAAGGTAGGAGGTTACTCCAGTTGGCATTTCCAGATCAGGACCTTCAGTCCTTATCCCAGCAGCTGGAGTGTTTCCTCCAACAACTCTCTCCTCCCCCACCCCATACCCTCAGCTGATTTTATAATGCAGCTTTTAGTAATAGCAGAACTTGGGCCATTCAGTGTCCTGGCTGAGAAACAAGTGATACAACTTGGAAAAAATGTGATTACTCAATCCATTTCACAAAACAAGATGTTCTCTATGTGTAAGCCTGTTCTCTTTCTAATCATCCTGTCTCCTCTTTCTTTTCTACCTTCTGGTCATTAGTGTGCAAATGTTAAGAAATTCGGGTACTATGATTGTTTCTTGCCCACAGTGAGTGGGAAAAATACCAATATTCATTTAATGTTCTTTTACACACATTATTTCTTTGTATCTTTTGTTAACTTTGAACTCAGTGTTACAGTCAGATACATTCTATTTATAAGAAAAGCAAAGTTCAAAGGATTAAGTGAGTTAGTTCTATTGACATCTGAGTCTAGAGGGAGAAGCCATGCAGATTTTTAGTAAGGTCAGCTATCAAGGCCATCACTTTAGCCGTATTATCTTCACAGTCTTCCCCTATATTCTCCCATTCTCCTTTGGGCTCTCTTCAAAGCTTCATTTGAGACCTTGGGTTTTGTCATAAGCAATGTAGTGTAACATCAGAGAATTGAACGGAAGTCTAGTCCCAGCTGGACGCAGATTTGTTTTATGTATTTGAGCAAGTCATTCCTAAAGCAAGAGATTAAAACTAGATGATCCTTGAGCATCCTACTACCCCTGTGTACTGTACAGGCTCCTGACCTTGATGATGGGTAAAAGATGACTCCTATGACTGTCTTCTACCTGATCTCAGATGCTCATCTCGCCCCTACCTATGTCTGTACCCCAGCCACACAGGGCTCTGCCTCTCTAAGGGGATCCTTCATGCTAACTGCTTCTCCTTTGCAAAGCCAGTAGTAAACCTTTTTAGGTCCTAAACTCCTGGGCCAAGCCACTTCTGATGGGCTTCAAATGCTAAGCTTGCAGTTAATCCAGGGTACTGGTTATAAAAAGCAGAAGCTTTTTTTTTCAGCTAATCGCTCTTTTTGTATCTGACTTAGAAGAAAACAGATAAACTTTACTTTTTAAAATTAAAAAACCGAATAAAGAGCTTAGTCCACTTGGTGTGACTGTAATGTTAATTAGGCATTTAATAATCTAATTAACTCCCCTCTCCTTTGTTCTGATTGCAGGGCAAGACAGTTTCAGATTATAGCTTAGCTTCCTATGTAATGAGATCCAAGCTACTTCATGTTTATATTTTTATTATATATTTTATTGTATATTATTATTCTGGATTGTACACCAGTCTCTTGCGCTTCATACAGTGTAAGCTTGGTCTGGCTACTCTATGCTGATGCAGATATGGGGGTCCAGTAGAAGTGTAGCCCTTGAGCACACCTGTTGGAGTAAATGGAGTAAAGGCCTCCTTTGCCCTTTTGGTCTACCCTTTCTACCTGTGGTGTCATAGAAAGAGAACATTTCAAAATCTGATTTAGTGCTGTGGCTGAAGTGCCACAGGAGTATTACTCTG